CACATAATTCATACATGAGCAAAATGCCCATTTCACAAAATAGTTCATTTATACTCATTTAATCTCATATTATTCATACCTTCTCAAATCATTTCAAATTTCATTCCTTGGCAACTATATCAGTATTTCATCAATATATAATCATCATAATCCATGAAAAATCATGATTTAAGCATTTAGGTAATCTCATGCTTAACCTACAAGTTGTAAGCAATTAGATGTCAATCCTCACCTTAATTGAGCTTTAAACTTTTCCTTCTTGACCCAATGGTCAAGGCTTTGGTCAAGGTTGATTTAGAACTGATTCCTTGCTTAGAAATGAGTGTTAAACAGCCTCCTCCAGCTGCCAGCTCCACTCCTAACCGAATGACACGAAAACAGTCCCTAGAACGGGTGTTTTCCGGTTAACTCGTTTCCTAGTTTTCCAAGATTTGCTCTAGGTTAGTATCTAACCTTTACATCAATAAAATAACTTCATAAGGACATATTATACACTTCTAGTAGTGTATAATAGTCCCACCAATCGTTCATATCAAATGGAAAATGAAAAGGAAGGTTTTGGATTCAAACTTACTTTGAATACAAAACTGTGTTCTGCGAGGTTGCGTTTTGTTCGGACAATCTGGAAGCCTTCCACCACTCCGATTGATGCAAACCAGACCTCCACGGATTCCTCGTCTTGAGAGCTTTCTTTTGGTACCTTATACGCCTTAATTGGACGAGTAAATCTCAAGTTATGGCTCGAACAGTAAGAGCTTCGCACTAAAGAAAGAACCTGCGGACTGCTCTCCTTCTTCCTTCCCTTTTGAGTTGTGTGGATACCTTTGCTCTCTTATCTCTTTTGGGGGGTCGAATGGGGGGTTGTGGGAGTATACAAGAGCTCTCAATCATGTTACCAAGGCATGTGGAGTGGTTCCCAATTGATCCCAAACATTTTGGGGTCCAAAATATCTACCAATACTTCCAAAAAAAAAATGGGAAGATGGGTCCTATTGTTTTATCTTTTGTCAAAAGATGTCTTTTTGTACTCATCCTAATTTATTTAGAACAAGTCAACTTCCTACATCACATTATTGGTCTCCAATATGTGTAGGCTCATCTCAATAATTTACTTGATGGATATTATAGGAGGAAAATCCTACTCCCATTATTTAGCTCAATAATGCCAAAGATGGGGTTATAGGCATTTGTATTCTCCTTTAATCATTCTATCACTTATTTGACATTTGTCATACATATTATTGGACTACTAGCCGTGTGGGTCACTCCCGAGTGGATCCAGGACGCCATTCTCGAATACTTGCTATTTTTAGCAGGTTGGGCCCAAAATGAGTATTCGCCAGCCCGATACTAATATACGAGTTCGAACAGTATAATAATCGGTCATTAATTACGTAAAACATTAATCGTTTAACAAATGTTTGGAAATCAGAAATCCAATACATAAACTTTGAATTTTAAATCAAATTTTCAAGGACCTTCGGGAGCGGTGTCACAAGTTCACCCCCCCTTAACAGGAATTTCGTCCCCGAAATTCACAGCTCTACTCAAATAGGAATGCATACTGTTTCCTCATCAAAGCTTCTGTTTCCCAAGTCTCTTCTTCGACCCGGTCACTTTTCCAAAGGACTTTAACCATTGGAACTTCTTTACTCCTCAGTTTCTTCACTTTTCTGTCAATAACCCTTACCGGTTGCACGGCATAGTTCAAATCTTCACGTACCTCCACGGGCGGCTTCTCCAACACATGAGAAGGATCATGCACATACTTCTTAAGCATGGATACATGAAACACATTATGTATCTTCTCTAACTCAGGAGTCAACTGTAGACGATATGCAACGGCTCCAATCCTCTCTATAATCCTAAATGGACCTATATATCGTGGGTTAAGTTTTCCTCGGGTTTGGAACCGAATGATCCCTTTCCAAGGAGAAACTTTCAAGAATACCTCGTCATCAACCTTAAACTCTAAGGTTCTTCGACGCTTATCTGCATAACTCTTTTGTCTATCCTGAGCCGCTTTGAGTCTCTCTCGAATCAACTTCACCTTTGATTTGGTGACCTCAACCAACTCAGTACCCTCGAGTTTGGCCATGCCAACCTCGTCCCAGCATAATGGTGTACGGCACCTCCTCCCATACAATGCCTCGTATGGAGGCATGCCGATGCTTGCCTGATAGCTGTTGTTATAGGCAAACTCCACAAGTGCTAAGTGGTTGTCCCAACTTCCCTGGAACTCCAATGCACAAGCCCTCAGCATGTCTTCTAGGATCTGTATGACTCTTTCAGACTGCCCATCCGTCTGTGGGTGGAAAGCAGTACTGAACTTCAACCTCGTTCCCATAGACTCCTGAAATTTTGGCCAAAAACGTGATGTGAATCGTGGGTCTCTGTCAGATACAATGGTCACTGGGACCCCATGCAGCCTCACGATCTCATCCGTATACAATTTGGCTAACCTCTCAAGTGGGTAAGTAGTGTTGATAGGCAAGAAGTGTGCACTCTTTGTGAGCCTATCTACGACAACCCAAACTGCATCATAGTTCCTGATTGTCCGTGGCAACCCTACCACAAAATCCATAGTCACGTGTTCCCACTTCCATTCAGGAATGGAAAGTGGTTGCAATAAGCCTGCTGGGTGCTGATGTTCTGCCTTAACTTGTTGACAAGTAAGGCACCGACTGATGTACTCGGCTATTTCCCTCTTCATTCCAGACCACCAGTAACTTTCCTTCAAATCACGGTACATTTTCGTGCCCCCCGGGTGCATGGCATAAGCCGATGAATGAGCCTCCTCTAAGATGGACTTTCGGAGCTCATCAAGTAAAGTGGGTCTCACCTCAAATCGTGCCAATAAGGCACCATCGCTGGTTACCTCCAGTTGGGCTCTTAATGCCCTCAAATTAGTTATCAATGTCCCAGACGAGCTCTTCCGGCTCAAAGCATCTGCCACCACGTTTGCCTTGCCTGGGTGATACTCTATCACTAGATGGTAGTCTTTTATCAGCTCCATCCACCGTCTCTGTCTCATGTTTAGCTCTTTCTGAGTAAACACGTACTTCAAGCTCTTGTGATCGGTGTATATGTGACATGTCTCCCCGTAGAGATAATGTCTCCATATCTTCAGTGCAAATACCACTGCCCCGAGCTCCAAATCATGAGTAGGATAATTCACCTCATGCTTCTTCAATTGTCGTGAAGCATAGGCGATTACCCTCCCATTCTGCATCAGTACACATCCGAGCCCTTGGATGCTCGCATCGCTATAGACATCGTACCCCACACCTTGTTTGGGTAATGCAAGTACCGGTGCCTCGGTCAATCTCTTCTTTAGTTCCATGAACCCTTTCTCACATTTGTCATCCCATACAAACTTAGCTCCTTTACGAGTGAGCTTCGTCAATGGCGATGCCAAAACAGAGAACTTCTCCACGAACTTTCTATAGTAGCCTGCCAATCCAAGGAAACTACGAATTTCCTTGACGTTCTTTGGCCTCTCTGTAACACCCCGGCCCCGCAGGACCCGAGGTAGTTACTCCGGACCAATAGTACTGTCCCCACAACCCACCACGAGCCTTTACCGCGCACTTTGTCCTCACTCATGCGCGCCCTGAGAAACTTCCCAGGGGGTCACCCATCCCAAGACTACTCCCGTGCAAGCACGCTTAACTTTGGAGTTCTTAGGTGATGAGCTCCCTTAAAAGGAGATGCACCTCTGTTGGTATGAGTAGTACTATTAATCCGTTTATATTAAATCTCAAGTGTTACAATCACCCCCACTTAGGATCGCAACGTCCTCGTTGCGCCCTTGAACCAATCTCAAATCTCAATCAAATCCCAGAATCTTCCCCCGCTAAGTGCCCGCCCGATATCCAACGGGTCATCACACTGTCGCGGGGTTGCTCTGATACCACCTGTAACACCCCGGCCCCGCAGGACCCGAGGTAGTTACTCCGGACCAATAGTACTGTCCCCACAAACCACCACGAGCCTTTACCGCGCACTTTGTCCTCACTCATGCGCGCCCTGAGAAACTTCCCAGGGGGTCACCCATCCCAAGACTACTCCCGTGCAAGCACGCTTAACTTTGGAGTTCTTAGGTGATGAGCTCCCTTAAAAGGAGATGCACCTCTGTTGGTATGAGTAGTACTATTAATCCGTTTATATTAAATCTCAAGTGTTACACTCTCCCATTCAGTAATGGCTTCTATCTTCTTGTTATCAACAGCAATCCCCGATCCCGAAACCACGTGCCCGAGGAAGCCAATCTCCTTTAGCCAAAATTCACATTTAGAAAATTTGGCATAGAGTTGCTTCTCCCGTAGTGTTTCAAGAACAAGTATCAAGTGCTCCTCATGCTCTTCTTCACTCTTTGAGTAAATCAAGATGTCATCTATGAACACAATCACGAATCGATCCAAGTATTTATGGAATACTCGGTTCATCAAGTCCATGAATGCCGCCGGGGCGTTTGTTAACCCAAACGACATAACAAGGAACTCAAAATGCCCATACCTTGTGCGGAAAGCACTCTTTGGTATGTCATCTTCCTTAATCTTCAATTGATGGTACCCCGACCTCAAGTCAATCTTCGAAAACACGGTTGCTCCTCGTAGTTGATCAAACAAGTCATCAATCCTAGGCAACGGATACCTATTATTGATTGTGACCTTGTTCAGTTGACGATAGTCAATGCACATTCGAAGTGTCCCATCTTTCTTTTTCACAAAAAGAACCGGTGCTCCCCACGGGGAGTGGCTTGGTCTAATGAAACCGTTATCCAAAAGCTCTTGCAATTGGGTTTTCAACTCGTTAAGTTCAGCGGGTGCCATCCGGTATGGCGGTATGGAGATTGGTTTGGTACCAGGCTCGACCTCGATCACAAATTCAATCTCTCTGTCAGGTGGAAGCCCCGGTAGGTCTTTAGGGAAGACATCCGGATACTTACAAACCACCCTCACATCATCGACGTTCGTTTCCTCTTTGGTTTTGTCAACCACGTATGCTAGATATGCGTGGCATCCCTTCCTCATCATATTTCTCGCTCTCACGGCGGATATGATACAACTATTTGATTTGCCGCGGTCCCCCTCGAAGCGTAGGGTGTCCCCCTGTGTGCCTTCGAGTTCCAACACCTTTGTGTAGCAATCTACCCTAGCATGATGCTTTTCTAGCCAATCCATCCCTAGGATTGCATCGAACTCCATCATACTCAGCGGTACGAAATCACACGTCAAGGTTTGGCCACCGATTTCCACCATACAAGATGGATAGTAATTGTTTCTTTCAACGTCTTCCCCTAGTGGGGTTGATACCATTAAGGTTTGTGTCATTGGTATTGATTGCATCTCTAAGCTCTCGGCAAACGCCTCACTCACGAATGAACGTTGCGCTCCGGTATCGATAAGGATTCGTGCATCCTTCCCGTTAATCTTTAGTGTCCCTACATTCATGAACCATGTAAGACATCTTTCCTACCCTCCCTACTCATTTATAGAAGGTTGCAATGTTCACACGCACGTTAGGGATCAAGAAGAGGCCTTAACGTCGCAAAACGATGCGAAAAAATCGGGTTTCGGCAATCTGGGTGCCAGGCACGGCGTGCCTGGGGTAGGCACGATCGTGCCTGGCTTGGGGAAACGCCCAGGGTGCCACTGCCTTGGAGGCACGATCGTGTCTGCCTTAGGCACGATCGTGCCTGGGTTGGGAAATCCTGGGGAGCCACTGATTTGGAGGCACGATCGTGTCTGGATTAGGCACGATCGTGCCTGGTTTGAAGAAACACCTGGGCAGCTACTGCCTTGTAGGCACGATCGTGTCTGCCTTAGGCACGATCGTGCCTGGGTTGGGAATTTTCCTGGGCAGCTACTGACTTGGAGGCACGATCGTGTCTGCCTTAGGCACGATCGTGCCTGGGTCCCAGCCGCCTGAAGTTGCCCGAAATCCCCCGGTTCGACCCCAAAACCTCGTGCAATGATCCTAGCGATTAGTATCCTCAATTTATGGACTAATTAAGGATAAAACACTAGTATATGAGAGGCAATACCTGCGACGGAGTCCGGGTTAGCTTGAGCATCCGCCTCCGTCATCGCATAGACCCTAGCCTGGGTCCTCCCTTGGTTCACGGATGGCGCGTTGCTTGTACTTGCCCCCCCGTGTCCCCGGCTTGCTTGAGAAGCCCCGGTTTGATTCCGTGTACCCGTCGGACCGCTACTCGGTCCCGATGTCCTTGCCCCACTCAATTGTGGACAATGTGCCTTCAAATGCCCGGCATCCCCGCATTGAAAACATCTAGGGGGGTCGCGACATTTACCGGAGTGGTTCTTCTTGCAATTGTTGCAACGAGCTACCACTGAGGTTTGTGACCTCGCGCCTTGCCCACTCGGGCCTTGGTTCCCCCTATATGGTGGCGGTGGTGCCCGGAAAGATCCTCCTCCGTGGTTCCACTTTTTGTTGGAACCTTGGGAGCCATGACTCTCCCACTTTCTCTTTTTCGCCTCCTCAGCGTCTCTCTTCTTCCTTTCTTCCCATTGCTTCTCTCCTTTCAACCCTTGGTCAACCACTTGGGCAAACGTCATGTTAGGCAATTGTGTTGCCCTGTCACGTATCTCCAAGTCTAGAGCATCCCAGAAGTGGTTCACCATCCGGTTCTCGTCACAAGCATACTCAGGTATGTAATCGGCAAGATCCCTGAACTTGTACTCAAGTTCCCTCACCGTCATGTTACCCCCTTGGGTTAGAAGGGTGTATTCCCTCACTTTCTTGTTCACCTCAAAATCCGAGTAATATTGGGCAAAGAATTCCTGTCGGAAATTCTCCCAAGTGACGGTCTCGCCATATTTGCCTTTGGTCCCATCCCACCACTTGGATGCCATACCTTCAAGCAATCTCACCGCAACCCTTAGTTTATATTCGGGGGTGAGTTGCATGTCCAGGGCTGCCTCATTCAGCCGTTTAATCCATTGTGCCGAAACGGAGATGTCACCCGTCCCATCGAACGGTTTGCACCCCAAGTCTCGTGCCTCTTTGATGTATTTGGAGATCCTTATGATTGGACCCCCATCACCCCGACCCCCATGTGGTTCAATGTGGGCCCTAGAGTCGCCATGGCTTCTCCCTCTTGAAGCCCCGCCCGAAGGCTGCCCAGCCCGGCGCCTTCGGCGTTCCCTCCTCTCCTCACGCTCACGGTGGTACTGTTGAAGTAGTGCTTCAATCCGTGCTAAGGAGCCATTTTCCTCCTCATCACTTACATCATCATCATCCCCTTCATAAGGGGTCTCAACCGGTTCAGTTTCTGGTCGATAGGTCGAGTCCTCATAGGACCAGTAGGTTTCACTTTCCGTGTCGACATGACCGTCACTCACGGTCTGTGATCGGCCTCCACGGCCAGCTCCTCTAGATGCCCTAGAGGTCCTTCGACTGCCCTGTCCAGTCTCCACTGGTACATGGCCGGTCGGGTTTCTCCTAGTAATCCTGCCACCACGGTCCATTTCTGAAAGAATTTGGAAAGAGTCGTTAGACTCGTATCAAATGTCAATTGACGGATAGGTACTTAAGACACATTTTGGCTCGAGTCACCGCCATACCAATTGCTAAGGGTACCATCTTAACAATTAGAGACCTTGCAACCCAAGTACCAAAAGCTCTCCAAGTACAAAACTTCTATGCTCATGGTTTTCAAAATCTTTTCAAAAAGAGAATTTTGAGACTTCATTATGAAGTTTATGGACTAAGGCTCTGATACCAACTTAATTGTCACGCCCCGGACCTCCCCGGACACGTCAACAACCCGCCGTACAATACGAATAGTCAATCGCAATCCAACACATTCATATTATACAAGGCGTCATGAATATCATTCACACATAAGTCATCCATAAACAACATAATAAGTAATTCATAAAGCAGCGGAAAACATTGTTTAAAACGAAAGGGCCACACAGGGCTATTCATGAGCACGCAGGCTCTATAATAAAATATCCATGAGCAAATTTATTAATGTTTCAAATAGAATGGAGGAAGCACGAACCAAGTCTTCTCTCCGAGGAATCACTCGATCAACGAGCACAGGATGCAAGCTCTAGCCTCAACCTGAAATGGTGGTGGGACGCCCCCGAAGGGGTCAGTACTCTATACGGCTATAAAGTACTGGTGTGGCAGGCATCTAATAGATATACAACAAGTATTTCAAACACAAGACCCTCAAATAGGGTGATAGTACATTATGATTGTAACCCTAAGTTACCCCGTTTAAAAATATACTTACTTTATATAAAAGTCAAGTAGTCGGCCCGTGGGCCCGTTTTCATTTGGAAATTACCATTCCCAACCCCGTAGCTATAAGCCACGACAACTCCTAGAGTCCAACCCTAGTACATGACATTGTATTCTAGAGCTCGGCTCTACTACATCACCATACAATTCATATACCTCGGGTCAATTTCCTTACCTTGCGTTCTAGAGCTCGGCTCTATTACATCACCACGCAAGTCCTAGAGCTCGGCTCTAGCTATACAATACATAGACTCCAAGTCTACACCTTACATGCATTCTAGAGCTCGGCTCTATTACATCACCATGCATTAAGGTCCAATTCTCAAGCAACCCTATGCCTAGAATTGACATATCATTAAACTACTTTGGGTCATCCTTAAAGACTTCCCATAACTTAACCTTAGTTCCAAACTAAGTTATTATATACACTTGAACTATATTCAAGTACCTTTCATACAATCCAATCCCTAGGATCAATTTAATCAACAAGTTCCAATAATCACTAACTAGTATTTCAATACTATTAAGATTATTGTTATCATACCATTATCCTCATTATTTGTAATTCTCTACATATTTATAATTATGTAGCAGCAACTTAAGTATTCAATCTCAATACACAAATATTTATTTATGTATCCACATAAATCATACATGAGCAAAATGCCCATTTCACAAAATAGTTCATTTATACTCATTTAATCTCATATTATTCATACCTTCTCAAATCATTTCAAATTTCATTCCTTGGCAACTATATCAGTATTTCATCAATATATAATCATCATAATCCATGAAAAATCATGATTTAAGCATTTAGGTAATCTCATGCTTAACCTACAAGTTGTAAGCAATTAGATGTCAATCCTCACCTTAATTGAGCTTTAAACTTTTCCTTCTTGATTCAATGGTCAAGGCTTTGGTCAAGGTTGATTTAGAACTGATTCCTTGCTTAGAAATGAGTGTTAAACAGCCTCCTCCAGCTGCCAGCTCCACTCCTAACCGAATGACACGAAAACAGTCCCTAGAACGGGTGTTTTCCGGTTAACTCGTTTCCTAGTTTTCCAAGATTTGCTCTAGGTTAGTATCTAACCTTTACATCAATAAAATAACTTCATAAGGACATATTATACACTTCTAGTAGTGTATAATAGTCCCACCAATCGTTCATATCATTTGGAAAATGAAAAGGAAGGTTTTGGATTCAAACTTACTTTGAATACAAAACTGTGTTCTGCGAGGTTGCGTTTTGTTCGGACAATCTGGAAGCCTTCCACCACTCCGATTGATGCAAACCAGACCTCCACGGATTCCTCGTCTTGAGAGCTTTCTTTTGGTACCTTATACGCCTTAATTGGACGAGTAAATCTCAAGTTATGGCTCGAACAGTATGAGCTTCGCACTAAAGAAAGAACCTGCGGACTGCTCTCCTTCTTCCTTCCCTTTTGAGTTGTGTGGATACCTTTGCTCTCTTATCTCTTTTGGGGGGTCGAATGGGGGGTTGTGGGAGTATACAAGAGCTCTCAATCATGTTACCAAGGCATGTGGAGTGGTTCCCAATTGATCCCAAACATTTTGGGGTCCAAAATATCTACCAATACTTCCAAAAAAAAAATGGGAAGATGGGTCCTATTGTTTTATCTTTTGTCAAAAGATGTCTTTTTGTACTCATCCTAATTTATTTAGAACAAGTCAACTTCCTACATCACATTATTGGTCTCCAATATGTGTAGGCTCATCTCAATAATTTACTTGATGGATATTATAGGAGGAAAATCCTACTCCCATTATTTAGCTCAATAATGCCAAAGATGGGGTTATAGGCATTTGTATTCTCCTTTAATCATTCTATCACTTATTTGACATTTGTCATACATATTATTGGACTACTAGCCGTGTGGGTCACTCCCGAGTGGATCCAGGACGCCATTCTCGAATACTTGCTATTTTTAGCAGGTTGGGCCCAAAATGAGTATTCGCCAGCCCGATACTAATATACGAGTTCGAACAGTATAATAATCGGTCATTAATTACGTAAAACATTAATCGTTTAACAAATGTTTGGAAATCAGAAATCCAATACATAAACTTTGAATTTTAAATCAAATTTTCAAGGACCTTCGGGAGCGGTGTCACACGACGCTTATACCTTCCCAGTACCTCGCTGTTGGCGGAATCAGACGTTCCCATACTTCTAGCCCTCTAGATGAAAAACGCCTAACCAGCCTCATCATAGCATTTGCCTCTGATTTCACTCGCGTTTCTCTTTTTGAATTTAAGAATTCAACAATCTCCAACTGTATTCTCCGATCATGAACCCGAAGTAGCATTTGTTCCATGCTACTGCACACCCTGCTGTCAACTTTAAGACTAGGCTTCTTTCCTTTGTATAATGCACCCATCAGCTGAAAATCAGAAGGCTCTGATGCAAATTTAAAGGAAGTAACAATTGTCCAAGGACCATAAAGCCAGCTAAAACCATGGCTACCTTGTCTTAGATAATTTTCTGGCACTCCAAAAGACCTTGCCGGGAAACAGACCGGGTCACCATAGAAATTTTCTGAAAATTATTGTGTCAAACAACAACTTCGCCTAGAGCTTGCTAGTAACTCTTAGGAGCCATCCTCTGTAATAACCTTGTGAAAAAAATCAGAAATCTCATGAACTGATAGGCTATGAGCTGTCTTTGCATAGATGTCTCCCAACCTTAGATGTTTTTCTGGTGCTTTAAATGGATTATGTAGGCCAAGCTTGTGGCAGCTTATCTTGCACTCAACAAATATCTGCAATTCTGCTACTTGTACTTCTGCAACTTGTATAAATGACTCCTCAATTAAGGGATCCCATTTGGTATCATAGCCGGAAGACTTTACCCATTTACCACATGTGGTAAATGGGTAAAAAACCAGCATCATGAATTGGTTTGTTGTTTCCTAAGATGATAGCATATTCCCCATAGAAAGGATTAGCATGATCCTCCTGAGCCTCTGAGTTTATCCTCTTTCTATCAATGTATGAATTTTCTGAAAACATTTCGACTGATAGACTTTTGACAAGAACAACTATATCTTCTGCAATGTTCTTGATCACTGACTGTACGGGCGTACGACAAGGATGCTAACTGAAAAAGATTGTTGTTCAGCCATGTCCACCAAAGAAGTACTCAGAAACACATTCATTCGACCACAAGTGTCCAAAATATACCTGTGTATCCACTCACCGGTTCCAATATCTGCTAGATGGCCGCAAGCAGAGAGTACCCGAACAAGGATGAAGCTATCTGGCACCAAACCCATCTCCACTCACCTGCAGAACAAATCGACTGCTTCTCTAAACCTCCCGAAAGCTACATATGCACCCATGATTGAAGTGCAAGAAACCACATTCTTCTCAGGAAGACCATCGAACACTTTGTGCGCATCCTGTAAGCACCCGCATTTTTGCGTAGAAACAAACCAACCCGGTGCTCACGAACGGATCATCACCAAACCCAGTTTTCACGACAAGGCCATGAGGCTTGATCCTCAGTTCATAATCTGAAATCCTGGCCCATGATTTCAGAAGAAAAGGGAATGTGAAGTTGTTCGACAAATAGCTCATTCGGCGCATGGAGTTGAAGACTTCTATGGCAAGATCGAAGCAGTCATTGGTTACTAAACCCCGGATAATAGTGTTGCATAGAAAGATGTTAGGTTCTAAGGTTTGGCTGAAAAGAAGCTTAGCGTAGCCAGGATTGCGGAAGGAGTTGAGAGTAAGCATCAGCAGTTGGTTGAGAAGATAGTTATTTTGGTGTGAATCAGAGCGGAGAAGCTGAGCGTGGATGTGCTTGAGGCCTTGAAAGAGAGACGCTTTTATTTGTCTGTGTGAAGGGCAAATAAATGGGGTGTATCCCAGGGTGTAACCCAAGTTGTGCCTTAAGAATTTTCCTGGGAGGTGCTTGGTAACGTGGTGCGCATACATGGTGCAATTGATAGACAACAATTCCTAAGTACATGCTAGAATATGATTCAAATTGCTTTTGCATAATAACCATTATGTAGTACGTAGTACTCCCTATTATTTATGAATGTACCACGATTACAACGCGAAATTGTAGACTTATGTCAGGGTGCACATACCACACGGCTCACATTTTGCCGTCTTATCGATCTTAAATGACTTCTACATGTAGTGTACCTTTAGTTATAATTTTGAGAACAATGTGTTACCGATACAATCAATTTTATTGCCTTTCTCTCACCAAAAAGTGACATTTTTTTAGAATACAAATGGCTGACGCTCCAGCTTAAGATGCCCGTGGCTGATGATATATGCACTAATAGTTGAGTCTAAAATCCTTTCTCCATAAATTTGATTAACTGTTAAGGATTACTCCTTATTTTTTAACTGTATATAATTTTCATATAAGTTGTTTATATTTTGTTTACTGAAAATATTTTGAAGGATAAGTGTGATGACGATTATGACATGAAATTACTTATCATGTCATTCTTTAATAGAAAACTTTATTTAGGTGGGAGGCTGTACGGGTTGGCCTTTTGTTGTATATTTTAATTTAATTTATAAATTATAGTTAAAGTAGTAAAGTGAGTGAATATTGGAGATCAAATTATCACGAATTGTTGCATACTTTTGGTCAGGCACGCCCACTAATAGAAGTCTTAATTAAATCATTCTAGGAAACTAAATAGAAATAGGAAACCTCTAATTCTAATAAGAATAGAAGTCCTAATTAAATCTTACTAGGAAACAAAATAAATTAGAAAATAAAATAAAAGAAACAATTAAAATTTATTAAATTGCCCGCAGCCAGCCCACGAAGGAGGTGGGCTCAAGCCCGTCCCGTCTCATGCTCTTCCCGCTTCATATCAGAAACGGTAATGGATCCTTGCTCGATAGCCGCTGTAATGGCAGGGCTGAGAAACAACTATTAAGAACCGAACGGTAGCTTGCATTCGAGAGACATCGGGGAAGGAAAAGCGGTTAAAATGAAAGAGATGAGGTTCAAAGCTTAATTTTTTTTACTACGTATCCAAAAAAACCTAACGCGCCGTTTTTTGCCCCCGCTTTTTCTTAGTTCGCGCATGTTTAAGTACCATAGCGGTTTTGTTGTTGTTATTATATGCCTATTTTTCAATTCCAAAGTAATAATCAAGATTAACGGTGTGAATCTATAGCATTAAATGCACAAATGCTATAATATTATGCTATAAAAATGAAATATTGTTTAGTGTAATAGTGTCCTATAAGTATGCACACATAAGGATTGAACCTAATTAGCATGGGATACCGTCCTAGTCTCAACCATTATAATAGGGACCCTATTATAATGGTATTTAGTGTAACTTTCTCTAAAATATACAAGTTGGTATATAAAAATATATTATCCAACCGTGTAGTATCTATGTTGATAAAGTCACATTTGAGGGTAGTCATGCAATGTGTCTACCACTAACTACACCTAGTAAGAGATAACCATTGTTGGTTTGACCAAACCATTATGAGACTTGTTCTTCTTTAGGTAGGCAGATACAAACATCCAGATTTTGGAGGAAGTAAATAAAATGAAAACAACCCATTCTGAAGCATGATAGTTTGTTCACAAACGTGGTTAATTGACAGGGTTGACATTTTCTGAAAATGTGTTCATAAACGTAGGAAATGCTCAAAGTTGACCTTTTTTAGAAGCTTTCATTCCCACTGCCTCCATATATATGTGCATATTCAGCAGCTCCAAACATCACCCTTCAATTCAAAATTCTCCAAAATACACAAATTGGGATTTTTAGAATTATGTCTGGACCTAAATTCCAAAACATTTTGACAGCAATTTATATGATTGTGATTTCATTTGGTTCCAGTAATAGTTATGCCAGGAAATTACAACCTCATCCTTCTTCTTCTTCTTGTTCCCCAGTGAAAGGGGTTTATTGGCCTTCCTGGGCTGAAACAACTTTCCCGCCATCCGCCATAGACACGACCTTGTTCACGCACGTCTACTATGCGTTCCTTGTTCCCAACAGTGTCACGTTTCAATTCGACGTCGACAATTCAACGGCCGATCAGCTCCGCCGCTTCACCTCCACCCTCAGCTCAAAGAGCCCGCCGGCGAAGACTCTGTTCTCCGTCGGCGGCGGTGGCGCGGACGCGAGTATTTTCGCGCGCATGGCTTCAAGTGCTTCCACCAGGAAGATCTTCATCGACTCTAGCATAAGCGTGGCTCGAACATATGGATTCGATGGGATTGATCTAGACTGGGAAATGCCTCAAAGCCCGAAGGAAATGGACGATTTAGCCCTGCTATTGGCCGATTGGCGGGCCGCAGTCCGACAGGAGGCGATTCCGGCGAAACCCCAGCTATTACTCACGGCGGCGGTGTATTTCTCGGCGGATTTCTTCCTGGCTAGTGCGGCGTCATACAGAGCATACCCTGTCGCTGCGATTAACGCGAATTTGGACTGGATCAACGCAATGTGCTACGATTACCACGGATCGTGGGACACGACGGCGACCGGAGCCCACGCCGCCCTGTTCGATCCGAAAAGCAACATTACCACCAGCTATGGTCTAGGGCAGTGGATCAGGGCGGGGCTATTGAGAAGTAAGCTCGTCATGGGGCTTCCCCTGTACGGAAGGACATGGAAGTTGAAGGACTCTAGCTCGTACGGCATCGGGGCTCCGGCTGTTGACGTCGGCCCTGGGAGCGGAACTCTGACATTTAACGAGATCCAGCGATTTAATAGTGAGAACAACGCCACGGTGGTTTACGACGCCGTGACGGTATCGGCGTACTCCGCCGCCGGGACGTCGTGGATCGGGTACGACGATCCGACGTCCATCTCCGTGAAGGTGAAATATGCAAAACAGCTGAACCTCCGTGGTTACTTCTTCTGGTCCGCCGTTGGTGACGACAAGTGGGTGATTTCTAAACAAGGTAAAGCAAACTTTGCTTGATGATCAATTTGACCTAACATTGATTTTGTGCTGATACATGTTTTGACTTTTGCATAGGCTTTTACAATGATTGACTTTTTAATTATTTGGCTACACACTTTTAGATCTATTCTTATATTACCTCCGTCCCAAATTGATTTGCAAATTTGATTTTTCTTGGTCAAACAGTTTCATTTTATTTGCTTAATTAAGATGTCAATTTTTAATTATATTCTAATTTGGAGTTTACTATTTTGAAGAGATTTTAATGTAATTTCTGAATATATGAATTTTAATTATTAAAAATTAAATTAATTATCGATACGTAGCATTGACTTTTATTATTGGTTGACCAAAAAATGTTGACTTTACAAAACAATTTGGAACAGATGAAGTACAAATTTGTCAGTTTTTTTATGGATGAACCTTGTGAAACACAGATAAAGAAGACATGTTTTAGAAACGGGCTATTTCCACTTACTCGATAAGAGTGGGTATAAGTAGCAAAATTGTATTGAAAACGGTCCAACACCAGCTACTCGATATATAAATATCCCTTATTTTTACATCTTCATCGACCAAAATGAAAATAAATTATAGATTATTCATTGTTTTAATTTGTTTTATCCGTTAACTTATATACGTAGTATTTGACAACTATATGCTATTATGCTCACAATAGTGGAGACAAGGAGGGTCTCGAGGAGGCTTCGATCTCTTAAAAAATTATGATGTATATATATGTGTATAGATATTTATAAGCAATAAAACATACTAAGTATAATGAAATTTTTAACTTTGATCCTCCTACTCGGACATTTCTCATTCAAAAACTTATTATATGAACTATTAAAGTGTGAAAGGGAACTTCATTTGCCAAATACTTTTCCAATACAATAAGACCAACTTATACACTTCTTTTAACTATTAAACAACCTTATAAGTTAATGAAGATCAGATCGGTTTTTGCCCTCATCATGTTTCATACGAAGTATTTTGCAAGAGTTCCTCAGTCGCATGTTGCCCTTTTTACTGATCTTGTCACACTATTTGGCTTTCAAGAGTTCGAGTACTCGTTGATACCAAGGCCGGCCATGATCCAATAAAAATGGTAGAAAAACATACACTAATAAATATTCTCTTTAGATACATAGGGATTTAATATATTTTTTCTTTTTACGCAAATATCTTTTTCGTTTAAAGCACTTGTTATAAGTAATTCTTGTCCTTTTTGGTTACTTTTGCATAATACTACCTCCGTCCCACTAAGATTGGGACAAGAGAAGGTAGCACGATTATTAAGAAAAATGAGTTTGTGTGGTTGATATTAAATTGATAAAGTAAGAATAAAATAAGAATGATTTAGAACCACACAAACTATACCAAATTTGGTATGAGACAATCTTAGTGGGACTTCCCGAAAAGGTAAAATGGGATAATCTTAGCGGGACGGAGTACTATTCTAATTTATACGTATAGTACTATAAAAACACGGAGTCCGCCTTACAGAAGTACGAAGTACTCCGTATGATCTATTAATCTACGTATATATACTTTTTGAATTTTAATAGTTTATAACAATTAATATAATTTGTATTTATTCATATTGGTTTGCAGCCAAGCAATCGTGGGACGTAGGCAGCTATTTACATTGAGGCTATTACGATGGATATTCTTGGCTCAGTGAGGACCACATGCAGTTTGTAAATTGTAATCCGTAGCAATCATTTGCAATAAATTAAAAAATGTCATAGTTGACCAATGTCAGTTACGTTGTAGAATATTCAATGAGTGAATAAAAGCCAAATCATAGAAGTTAAAGCTATCTTGATAAATATTGGCAAACATTGTTTATTGATATTGTTCGTTGTATTTTTATTTTATTGAAATCAAATATTGTTATACGTAGTACTCGTATTACATTACTTATCTCACTTCAATTATTTATTGTTTACTAGCACATTATCCGTGCATACGATAAGTGAATATAAAAAACATAAACTCATACAACAAATAATAAAAATAAAATAAAACTAAAATATATAAAAATATTATTATTTGCTACATAATAATAATTAGTATTATTGGTAACGGATAATGAAATATTGAACTTAATTGTTAGAGTTTTGAAAAACTACCTTAAAGAGAACTTGGAGTGGTAGGAATATTTTATGATTTTCTTTTCTTATCATGTACGTATTATAAACTCTCTATAACGTCACATACATATATAAATTTTACATGACTAAAATACGTATAGGTAGGAATATTTCATCTTTTTGTGAGGAAATGCCAGAAATAGTCCCAGACTATTATAACAATACCCATATCCTGCTCTTTTTACGTGACCATAAGACACCCCCAAGTCTCACCACTTTGCCAATTTTAGTCCTAATTCACCTTGGTCGTTTACTTCCGTCAACTGAGAGGGCATTATGGTAAAATTCGTATTTAATTGACTGCAAAAATAAGCCCAACATATCTAAGGATGTGAGGAGTGACAAAGGTTGCGGCAAAACAGGCGAGTTGGCGACTTGGCCTCTGAGCGTCTGGGCGAGTTTGCCACCGTCGTGCGGCGTTGCGGACTGGAAGCACTGAAAGCCGGTCGGCTGGACTGACTCATTCAATAAGGACTGCGTTTTTCATTGATGCTTTATAATGGGTATCTACTGTTAGTACTGTATAGTGATTGAATTCTTGAGCAGTTTAATACTCCTCAGTTTTGTATTACTTGTTCGAATTTCAATTCTTGAGTCAATTTATTTCTCTTTCATTTTTTTATTTTAAAAAAAAAAACTTGCATATCTGCCTCATCGATGAAGAGATCTAAAGTTCTATAAGAACACTCATGTTGGCCACTTAGTTCAACCTTACCTTTTCTAATAAGAATAAAATTGCAGGGAAACTTTTCTAATAAGAATAAAATTGCAGGGAAACAGAGAGTGTGGCTATGTTCAGTGACCGGACCCTCCTATGTGTCCTAAGTCATTGTACGGTTGAATAGCAATTGAATTATATAAGTCTAAATTATTTAGGACTAAAATATTCCTAAATAGATATTAGACAAATTACTAAATATATTAAGCTATTACACCTCTCAAACGCGCATGTTGTCTTTTAAATTAAGAATGAAATTGCAAACTAAAAAAACACTTTTAGTAAATATATCTGTCACCAGAAGATTAGGATGTGCATATTTGACAATAAGATTTCCATGAGCAAGTAGGTTGTTTCTAGAACTTTCAAGAAAGCGGATTAGGACCAAGAAATACAAGAAATCCTGACATAGATCTACAGCCGGATGACTGATATATGTCGGAGTCGGCTGCCAATATTGTTCACAATTTAATTTGGAGACCCCCTGAAGATACCTTGAGCAAGAGCAGCGAATGAAGTGGGCAGCAGAGAGGATGCCGACTGACGGCCAACTGGCCCAGCAGAAGATGATGTGATCATGTCAGGGTCGTCAGAGAGAGTGGGACTGGGACAGGCGAAGCACTCTGGAACAGTTGTGCGAGCGGACCGAACCCTAAAATTCGAATTTTCCCTCTCTCACATAATGCTTTTCTCTCTCATACGTAGTGTTTTTAGGAATAAGATAAGATAATTCGACTAAAATTTGAGCAGGGGAATTTTAGGGTTCGGCCCGCTCGCACAACTGTTCCAGAGTGCTTCGCCTGTCCCAGTCCCACTCTCTCCGACGACCCTGACATGATCCCATCATCTTCTACTGGGCCGGTTGGCCGTCAGTCCGGATCCTCTCCGTTACCCACTTCATTCGCTGCTCTTGCTCAAGGTATCTTCAGGGGGTCTCCAAATTGTGAACAATATTGGCAGCCGACTCCGACATATATCGGTCATCCGGCTCTAGATCTATGTCAGGATTTCTTGTATTTCTTGGTCCTAATCTGCTTTCTTGAAAGTCCTAGAAACAACCTACTTGCTCATGGAGATCTTATTGTCAAATATGCACATCCTAATCTTCTGGTGACAGATAAATTTACTAAAAGTGTTTTTTTAGTTTTCAATTTCATTCTTAATTTAAAAGACAACATGCGCGTTTGAGAGGTGTAAGAGCTTAATATATTTAGTAATTTGCCTAATATCTATTTAGAATATTTTATTCTTAAATAATTTAGACTTAAATAATTCAACTTCAACTTCAACCGTATTATCTACTTCTATTTATCCAATTGCTATTCACGATTGCTAAGTTACCCACCATAATAAAGCCAGCCGTCCGACGTCCCGGCAACTTCGTAAGGTATGAGGAGAAGGACGCCGAGGCTTTAGCATCATCATCATCATCATCATCATCATCACCAATGGTATTTCTTTGTGACTTGTGAGAGGACAAGTTAGGTTCGTTGTCTTGTTAGGAGGAAGGGACGTCATTATTCCCAACTACAACTGATGAAGAAGGGCTACTAGTCTTCTTCACACACTTGATTTCCGAAAAGCTGAGACTAAAGGAGACTTCAGCGGCCGAAAAAGGACTAAAGGAGCAGCCGAGCAGCCAATTGGATTGACATCGACGAACGTCAAGGGCCAAGTCCCAGAGGCCATTGGCGCTATTATAGTCTTCGAATCTTCCGTACTCCAGGCTTCACGCCTCCACGCTTCTGGATTTCGATCGTTGCTTATCGTCTTGCCGAGTTGGGACTCGGGAAAAGAGGATAGAGGAGATAGGAATCCGAGGATCCACTCATCAACAAACTGCTTCTGGTACGCGCATTGAGGTGCGCTTCAGAAGGTACGCCTCTTTTACTGATGAATTTTAGTAATTCAGCTTTTTAATATTTTTTATAGGTTGTGTAATAAATTGTGATTTTGTAATTAAACTGTTTGGGTGTAATTAGTAAAATTTGTTATGTAAAACTTGTTAAACCTTATTATGTAATTAATTTGTTGTAATTAGTCTAATCACACATATGTAAAATAGTACATTGCTTGCTCATAACTTTGACCCTGCAGCTTGTTTCGTCACTCCTTGATTCCCTTCTTTCAAAATTCCAATACCTTTTTTGGACAGGTAATATGTTGAGGCATTCCTTAGACTATATGATACACATTTCCAAGTTCTATGCTCATGGTTTAAAGAGTGATCGTAAGGCGCCAGCCTTAAGTAGCCGTGCAAAAAGCTTCCACTTAGCCCTCAAGTATTTAGCCTTGAGCCAATAAGCCTCATGTATTTACATTTCTGTTTTGATTTTTTATTGACTTATTAGTACTAAGCCGGATAGTTGCAAAGCTGTAGAGTCAATGAGCTACTATGGCTATTCTTCTCTTCTTTCCCACGAGGTTCAAACAACTCAACATTATCTTTTTCCCCTTTTATTTGAGCTGTAACAACAGATGTTACGTACATAACTTCTTTAACACTTTCTCTTTACGGAGTACGTGGTATAATTTAATGAATTTTAAAAGTCTTTTCCTTATTATAAAGGTTTTCACGTATTATTATGCGTGTTAGTTTATACTAAAAAGTTCTTACACTTTTTTTAAGATTAAGCCTACTATATGTTTTCCACCCCCAGGCCTTGAAATCGATAGGATGGGCCCTGTTAATTTAAGTATATTATCACTCATTCAACTATTCTTATGTTGGGAGAGTCAGAGTAATAGAGTATTTCTTAGACCTTTTATCAGTTATCAATTTACATAGTACATAGTATTTCTTAAATCTTTTATCAGTATCGTTGAAAGCATTTTTCTGTTTTTTTTCTTTCAGAAACTACTACTCCGTAGTATAAATACTCAGTTCTGCACGACACAGTTTGATATAATACCAATTAAATATATCTAAACAGCATATTAATCCAATTATCATTACATATACAATAGACATCTTACTCCAAACTGGATTTAATAGAAAAAAGTGAAGAGTCCCTAACACTTTAAATATTAGGAAGGTGTATACTATGCATCTTATTTTTTTGCTAATTGGTTTATTTGATTGGTATTCTTTTTATTAGTATAAGGGCTGCAATGGGTTCACCTAAACAAGAGAAAGTACATCAATATGAAGACTTTGTGGATAGGCGTTTAAAACCAGATCTGATTCATGCTATCGCTGAACGGTACATATCAAGTTTATCATCTCTTCCCCCTGTTTGTCAATTAGGTGTTTGGCACATTACCTGTTAGTTGACTTGGTTCTTTATATTAGTTGTTTGATGTTAGTTCTTTATATCGCTTGTACCAACTGTTCACTTAACTCTTAATGTGGAGGTGTTTGATTATAACACTTAGCTCAGGTTGTATAAATGCATAAGTTATACTACGTAATAAGAAGCTTTTTGAAAGGCTCTCTTTAAATAACTTTGCAAGCAACTAAATCACAATGTTTAAGCTAAAAAGCCTCCAAAATTTTCTTTGCCAATATAAGCTGTGTGACTTTGACATGGTCAAACAGATAATTAACATCATAAAAAATAAAATGCCTTCCAAGTTCCAAAAAGCCCTTTACTGAAATCCCTCCAGAAAGGTCTCTAACTAACAAGGCCCTTACCTTTTCCATTTCCTTCTGGAGATAAATGTGAATTTATATTTTTTAGGATTGGTGATGAGGTAACTCTTGTTAATATGAAACCATGATCTTCATGAAACGGATATTTGGGTATATTGTTTACATATTTCTGAATGATTAGTCAATACTCCACATATAAGTAATATAACAATAAAGTTTTTTAAGAATTTTCAAGCTTCTCCAAAAACTAGCTTAATTTTCCCTAACCTTTATTCCTGCTAAATTTCATTTTGGTATGTGTGTGTATGATTATGCAGGGATAAGGTCTTCGATCAGCAAAAGGCATTGTATCCTTAATATTTTCTTGCATTGTAATTGTCACATTCAAAAGATGAGTGTGGCAGAGATGCGCATGCTGCGTTGGATGTGTGGGCATACTAGAAAGGACCGCGTGAGGAATGAGACAATTAGACAAAGGGTGGGAGTAGCACCTATTGAAGATAAGATGCGGGAGTCACGCCTACGGTGGTTTGGTCATGTGCATAGAAGACCGAGTGATGCACCTGTCAGACGAGTTGAGATGTGTGGAGAAGAGGTAGGGAAGAGAGGGAGAGGAAGGCCCAAACAGACATGGGTTAGGGGAGTCAGAAGTGATATGCTTCTTCTTGGATTGGATGAGAGTATGGCTTTGGAGAGAGCAAAATGGAGGGCGGGTATTCGTGTGGAAGAGTGATCTTGTATCATCTTTTCTCCTCTTTTTTTTTCCCTTTCTTTTTCTTTTATATTTTTATCCTTATATATAAATATTACTTTATCCTTTTTATTTGATCTTTTATATGTATATTCATCTCTTTTATATTATCTTTTTTTATAATAGCTTATCTTTTTTAATCTTTATTTTCGTTCTTTTCCTTTTGGTGATATCATATATCGATTCATGTTAGCCGACCCCAATATCGTTTGGGACTAAAGCTTGGATGTTGTTGTTGTTGTAATTGTATTTGCTAGTCAGGTTCATCACTCTTCCTCTTCATGCAATTTGCAGTAGTAGTTGGAGACTATCACAGTATTACGTAATAGTCAACGTTGTTCCTTGTCTGGTTGGGGTATCCTTGACTCATATTTTGTTTCGTCAAGTTCGGAATTGAGAAGAAACATAGAGAATCTTGAGAAGAATAGTGTAACTAACCTTATGACACTGGTCAATCTGGGGTCTGAAGTTTACATGCAAGCTGATGTGTAAGTGCTTCGCTGTTTTGTACTACGTACTATATGCTATTTTTTGCGGGTTTAATTGGCCTCGTGGTGGGACCCTTCCCTGGACCCTCGCCTTGCGGGGATGCCTTTGTGCACCAGGCTGCCGCTGTTGTTTAATTGGCTCTTTGTCAATAAACAGGCCAGACACTAGGCACATATTTGTGGATGTCGGACTCGGCTTTCATGTTGAATTCACTTGGTCTGAAGCTCTAGATTATATTTCATCGCGGGAGAAGAAACTGGCCGGGTGAACTTTTTAATCTAATGACTGTAGTTTTGATTGTAACATTTTCTTTTACAACAGTATTTATATGACTAATTGCAGGCAAATAGAGGAATATACTTGCCTAATTGCTGGGATTAAGTCACAGATAAAAATGGTAAATATATTTGCAACATCTCATTCCCCCCTCCAATCAAATACAGTATGTGATATATAGATAATGACATAAATCTTGGAGCACTGTAACAAAACATATATACTGCTCAGGGGTGTTCGTCGGTTCGGTTTGGTCAGTTTCGGTTTTAGAAAAGGTGAAACCGTAAACCGAACCGCACTACTTGAGTCGGTTTCGGTTCGATTAATTTCGGTCAGTTGGTGTCGGTTTTAGCATGTTTTTGTCGATCGGTTTTGGTTCGGTCGGTTTTTTAACCTAAAAGGTGAAACCGTAAACTGAACCGCCAATGACTAATCGGTTTTAGTCGGTTTCGGTTTCGGTCGGTTTGTCAGTTGGTTTTGGTTTCGGTTTTTCGGTTTTTTTTTGTCCACCCCTATACTGCTAATTACCTTGAAGCTCGTTTGGTAGAGGTGGGTTTTACTGAAATGGCATAATTTGCTCATATTGTCATTTAAATGGTTACATGAGCTGATTGGGTTGAGTTATACTTCGTATAAAATTGCATCGCAAATGTTTTTGAGTAAATCATAGGATATATATATATATTTAAAAGGTTATGATAAATCTCATTTTAGCATTACCTTACTCTATTAATAGATAATAGTTTCGAAAACAATGCTTCATCAATAGGAAAATCAAATGCATGTTAGGCTCCTTTAATTCTAAGTTTCTAACCAAACACGGAACACGTTTTGCTGGGAAATGTTGTTTGGATTTTCATGTGGCCTTTTAAATACTTTTTCTTAGCAAAACATTTCCCTCAAGTTATTTTCCTACAATTAAACGGAGTCCTAATGATATACTACATATATGATGACACGCTAGACTGGACCAGACCAAACAAATATTATTTATAAAAGCATTTTAGCGAGACTACCGGTGGCGCAACCAGAGATGTCATGCTAGGGGAACGGGACTTGAAAAATTATATTGAGGGGGTCAAAGCTTAAAATTTCAATTGTTTTTTTACTGCTAACAAATAATAATACATATACATGTACATAAAAATTCATGGGGAGCTGAGGTCCCCTCCAGTCCCTCCGTATCTCCACCACTGGAGACTACCATGACTCCATGAGAGTAATATTCTTGATCTGCATGCAGGTTTGTGAAGGGATAAGAGAGCTACTCCAGCTTCCTGCAGACACCCTCAGGAGGGAAAGAGATTTTTAGTTTTCCATTGATACAATGAATGCAGACTTGTTGCTAACACTACTTCACTGCCCAAGCAAGAAAAAGTTTTTGTGCATTTCTGGCGTCATGTTAGAGAACAAACTGCTTTACACGATTCCAAATGATGGTACCATTCTTGGCACACCGGAGTTTTCAACATTGTTCTGGACTAACGTTTGATAAATTTTTGGAATCAGGACTTTGTCTTCAATTTTTATTAATTTAACGGCCTAACATATACCACTGTTAATTATGCAAACTTAGATGCATAACTGCACCTTATGAATGTAGAGTATTGTATATGTTAGATTATTGTGGATTTGGAAAAATAATCCTTCCTTGTGCTTTGTAGTGGAAACTATTTATTTATTACCATAATCACCATTTATTAATTGTATCAAAGTTATCTACCTAATGGCTAGTTGGCTATTGATTACATTTTTTGGGATGCATGATTTTTGTGTGTGTTATCTCTATGTATGTGAATTTTAAATAATAATCTAACTATTCATTTTACAAAAAGAAAGAATTGTATCCTTGGTTAACTGGGTAATCTGGGAGAAACAACTAATTATTTGAAAACAAAGAAGTAATTTATTATGTGGCTTTGGCAAAAAGATAGTTACAGCAGAAACATTGTGTTTTTCTTTTTAGATGTAAACTCGTACATCAAATATATTCATCATCTGCCCTTAAACCACTATCAATTAAAGTAAAAAAATAATTTCCTTTTTGGTTGTTTTTATCAAATTTTTATGGGCTATTATTGTGTCCTTTGTGAGGTGGATTATCTTCAGTAATCTTTAAGATTTTTTTGTCCTTCACTCTTTCCTTGTTTTGAAGGCATCTAATGATCTCATTCCATAGTTTCAGCTGCAAGATTGGTTATATAGTTTGTCAGCATGCAGCTAATTTCATTTATTTAAGAATAGGTTCTTGTAAGGGAGAATTTGACTTTGTACCCCACTTTTTGGGTGATATTAAACTTTGCACCCCATTTTAAAAAACCTTTGACTTTGCACTCTATCATATAACATTTGTGAAGGAAATTTTCTAAATGGGGTGCAAAGTCAAAGGATTTTGAAGTGAAATGGGGTGCAAAATCAAAGTTTTTTTAAAATGGGGTGCAAAGTCCAATATCATCCAAAAAGTGGGGTGCAAAGTCAAATTTCCCCTTCTTGTAATTAGTGCAGCTAATTATGCAAGATTGGCTTAACCTTCCTATAATTACTCTTCTAATATATAGGTGGGCAACTAGGGATGTTTTTACTTGGACTGTAATTCGTCCCAGATCAGACCAGACTTGAATAGTTATAAAAATACAAAGAAACCGGACCAAACCAGATCGGCAAATTACAGTCCAAGTAAAAACATCCTAGGTAGATTCTTAATGTGATATATGTAATTAAACCCTTACTTTCAAACACCCCCCTCCATGTGGGAGAACTAAAAGAAAAACATTTTTGGGATACTGATTATCAGGGCCGGCCCAGGGCATGGCTGCCCAGTGCTACCGCACAGGCCCCAGATTTTTGAAGGCCCCCCCAAAAAAATTTAGTATTACGCCCCATCCCAAAATCCCCCTGCGTAAATCTAAATATGCTTGAAGAATGTACCTTTATAAATAAATTGTAAGTTATTAATGACTATTTTTATCATTACATTTATTCGTAAGTTGTATTTTAAGACAATTTGCTTGTGTTGCAACTTGAAAAAAGACCCAAATTTTATTCTCGCACAGGGTCTGCATTTCTTCGGGACCGGCCCTGCTGATTACTCTATGTCATTCTTTAGGTTTCTTAATTAGTCTGGCAATTTTCTATCATAGTTAAGTCTTCTATTTTTCTTTCCCGAGTAATTAGAATTTTGTATAGTTGGCTAACTTTTGCTAACAGAATCTTTGTCTTCAATCTTCATGCACTGGCACAAAGTGAGGGCAAGCTTTGAGCCGGTCAATGCAAAGTGGCCAAAATGCTTTAGTGATCCTTATCTAGAGCCCGTTTGGTAGCACGAAAATCGGCTGTTTTGGCTGTTTCTGTTTAAATTTATGAAGTTCTAGCTGAAGTGGCTGTTTTGGCTGATTCTGCTGATTCTAGAAAAAAATATTTTAAAAATATATTTTATTAATAAAATAAAGAAAAAATTACATGTAAAAATAGCTAAAATGGTCATCTACAGTAATTTCAGCCAATACAGCCAGAAAAGTAACTTCAACCTTACTTTTTGTGCTTATTACACAATTCAGCACGCGAAAGTAAAAATTACGTGTTTGATGAAAAAGCTGGCTGATAAGCCTGATAAGCCGAAAAAAGGGGTCTCCAAACGGGCTCCTTGTCTGTTTTGTATGTTACTCCGTATATCCTTTAACAGCTTGAAAGCTACTTTTAATGCTAAAATGTGATTCTGCATAGATGAAGGGATCACTGATTGTCAACTTGACTATGTTACCGAAATTCGGCTAAAGTTTTTTTAGATTGCTAAAATGGCTAATATTGTTACAATTGCTAAAACTGATGTATTATTATGAACAAATTTATTTTAGAAATATTTTAGACCAATTCTATACGAAGTATTATAAATATGACATCCTCATTTATTACTGGGGTAACACAGCATTCTCTTAAATAAAATAGTGTAAGAGCTAGAGACCTAGAGTTATAATACTTTGTATAACTTATAATTCACATCAACCAAAAGATTTCTTTAAACTATGATGTACCCTCTTTGACAAAACTGTTACTCTCAAGTCTCAATATGTCATAATTTATTTGATATTCTAGAGAAGTTCACGTGTACATATGAAAAAAAAAAGTATTGTGTATAGACATGTTTACCCCTTTAAAACTGTAGTATTAAATGTCTTTTGGTTCCAAAAACAAAAGTATTTAATGTGAGAATATTTATAAATAACAGGATTTGGTATGCTAGTACAAAACATGCATTATTTTAGCAAAATCATAATTACTTTGGAATAACATTTGTGCCATAAAGGGTACAATATTTTATTATTAACGTTTGACACTATTAGTTGAAAAGATAATTTTTACCCTTTTAATAGATGTTAGATTTTAGCGACTAAAATTTATTACAAGGAAAAAGTTATCTTTGATAAATGTTAGAGACATTTTCTCATAAGTAGCTATTCAATGAAACTTGTAAGAATATTTTAAAATTTCAAAACAACTCCTAAAAATCATTGTGCCAAATACATAAAAATACAATCAAGGGTTCTTATAGTTAAAGCAAGGACTTATGCCTATTTAGTGCGGAGTACATAACAACAACATTCAAGGTTGGCTAGTATAAATAAAAAAGGATAAAAAAATATAAGAAAGATAAAAGGATTCAAAATATATAAGATAAATGTAAAAATGATAAGATAAAAAATGATGTTTATATTTCGAATGACCGTCTTTTAGGAGGTGGAATACGTGCTTGACACCGGTGCTCACTTTTATGTGGGGGCTCCAAATAATTAATATAAAGTATGTAATAGTAGTCTAAGTTTGTTTTCCTAAGTGTTATGTACTACCTCCGTCCCGTTCAAAGATTTTCATGTCAAAACGACACAGTTATTTAGATAATAATTAAATAAATAATTAAATAAGATATTTGGAGTATATTTTGAGAAATAGTTTTAATAGACATGCAATATAATGGGTTAGTGTTGATAAATGTGATGTTATAGATATATTATTTTAATATTTAATGATTAAATTGACATTTAAGATTGTTAATTGTCACACGATGTAAAAAAATGAGAACCTTTATATGAGACGTCCAAAAAAAGAAAGTGGAAACTTTTCTACGGGACGGAAAGAGTACATTCAAAAAATTTCATCAACAAATTCCACCGGGAATCACCTCAAAATGTGGTAACCGGACGGCAGCTCCGGTCAGGTATATCTGACCAGAAGATTACTCACTCTAGATCGTATACAACTTTTTAATTTTTACATATGGGTAAATGGAGCATTTTCTATAAAAATTAATATGAACTAGTAATTTTTCACGGCATATTTCAATATTTTCTTGTTTACACTTTACAGCTCAATATTTGATTATAGTGGTACCAAATTGACCATATCTTTTAATTGTGCCGTACGAAAAAAGTCTGTTCAGGAATTTATGATCTAGAAGCCATTTTTCTTTAACGCGACTATATATTTTTCAAAAGTAATAATCAAATTTGTTAGAAATTGTCAAATTGACATTCAAACAACGCCTATTAGCTTTTAGGTATTAAAAAGTGAAAGGCTAAAGTCAAATAAACTAGGGGCTAACTTAATTAGTTACTTTACTAAACTTTAGCTTACTGATTTTTAGATGGATCATCCAGCTATGCAACTTGTATTTGAATAATGCTACATAGATCTAAAAACCAATAATTAAAATTTATCACTTTCTATTTGACAAGATATGCATAGAAAAAAAACATTAAAAAATGTGGAAAAAAGAGTATTCAGTCACTTGAAATTAAAATTATTGATGTATATGCATAATATTATTGAATCAAAGATGCTTTTAATGAACTGTGGGGCATTACATTGGTTCCACCATCTCTCCATTCCCCGCTTAGATAGGATCTTTCGCTGCGGTTTGTTTGTTATTAAAACAAACCCCTCGAAGAAACAAACGAAACCCAGAAAATAAATTAAGGAAAAACACGCCCACAAGGAAGAAATCAAAAATCTTCATCTCCTCCAGGAAGAACGGCGGAGGTTGGGTGGGGTGAAAATGGGGAATGTGACGTCGACCGTGGCCGCAAAGTTTGCATTTTTTCCACCTGACCCGTCGACGTACGACGTTTTCAGGGACGAGGACGGCCGGCTGTGCTTCAGCGGCGTGACGGCGGACAAAAACGTGGACGTGCATTTGGTGGAAACCAAGGGCGGAAACAAGATTGTGGCCACCTTCTGGAAGCACCCTTTCGCGAGGTTTACGGTTTTGTATTCCCACGGCAATGCTGCGGATTTGGGGCAGATGTCGGGCCTCTTCCTTGAGCTCAGAGCTCACCTCCGTGTTAATATAATGAGGTCTCCTACTCTCCATGATTTCTTCCATTACAACATCATAGTTTTAGTTTTAGTTTTAGTTTTTAATAAGATTGTTTTTTGTCATAATCGTTTGCCATTAATGAACTTTTCCCACCAAAACATCTTGTCTGTCAGGATTTGGCTAACTTTGCCCCTACTTCTCTATCTTTCTGTGCAACAAATAGATTTTTTCCTAGGAGTTGGGGTGAAGAGTTTGTGATTTGCTGTATACTCGGATTCAGTGTTTTGATATATGTTTGCAGTTGTAGATTCAAATCTGTCTAGGATATATTTGGTGTATTTTGGACTGGATTTGCTTATTGTTTGATTTGTTTCCTCTCTTTTCCTTATATGGACATTATAGCTGGTTGTATACTTTTTTGTGCTGATGATCACATTTGCTTCCCA